AGAGAGAGAGAGAGAGAGGGGGGGGTATATGATGTACGTTCATTCACAGACGGAAGTGAGTAACCATCCTCCCCCTCTGGGTCAGCCCATGGTGACCTCACAGCGGTCATCATCCTTGTAATGACTGTAACTATCTCACTCGTACACGGAGATAACACGTTGGCATTTAGAGCTACCTACCCAATCTTGTAGTTTTGACCTTTTACTGTCCCCCTCCCCCTCCCCCTTCCCATCACCAAATCATCCCACTCTTTAGCTCTGTACAAAGAAGACTAACTGACTAAATGGTGGATAGTTATCCAAGCGTTGGTTGTTGTTTTTTTGTAGTGGAGGTGGGAATGACACTTCGGAGGAAAACAACAAGCAGTAAGTCACAAAACAGTGACCCCCTCTCTCTCTCTCTCTCTCTCTCTCTCTCTCTCTCTCTCTCTCTCTCTCTCTCTCTCTCTCTCTCTCTCTCTCTCTCTCTCCCTCTCTCTCTCCGCCTATCTATTTTCGTAAATTTATGAGTTCCTTTCAACGGTCTATCTCTTTATCCTTTATTAAGTGTAGCGTGATGTAGCAGCACCAAACTTCCTAAAAGTACGTCCTTAATATCTGCATGCATCACTGAATAAATAAATATGCACGCTGTAAGAACAGTGAAACTTCAATCATTGCATACTAAAATATAATATACAACAACACACTACTTTCAAGTCTGTTCATATACTTTAACAAGGTCGGGATTTTCAAAGTCCAGTGTGGTCCGACAGTTTCTCGCCCTTTCAGTGTCATTACGTGTAGCCAAACGCTGAGCCTTCGAAATCTACGACGCTCACCTGAAGTGCGTTCGTTTGTGTTGTTGTTGTTTTCAGTAGATGTTTTTACACCCCAATTTACACAATTTAGTTCTTTAAGGAGGTGGGCTTCGACCTTGCCTATCAGGGCTACCCAGGGTTGAGAGGGATAATGTCTCAGAAGGAAAACCGAGCAGATGTTGGACAGAAATTTTATTCTTCCCACTTGGGAATCCCACTGTGGTCACCCGTGTGCGACGAAGAGGCCCAAACCGCTACATCTCAAACGCCGGTGCGCTGAACTTTGAAGAGTTGACTTAGAGGAGCTTTAAACACACCCCTTTGCGAAGAAATAAAGGACAGGACAAAAACACCCCAAAAACAAAGAGAGAAACTATTAAGGTGTATTCACACCACACAAGTATGCATGTCGTAAAAAAAAAATAGACTGACCTTCTCTCATCCCACTTTCTTCCCAAACCCTGAGCAAATAAAAAAATGCCCCAAACCTTGAACGTCTGAGATTTTATTTTGCGTATTTTTTTCTTTAAAAAAAAACCCATCAACGCTGTGGTGTTCTGATTTACACGGAGTGCAACACTACTGCCCCTTTAAGGCTTAACTCCGCACCGAGTCAGAACCCCCCCTCTCCCCCAAAAAAAGAAACAGGAGAGTCAAAGGTTGTTGTTTTTTTTTCAGACGCATCATCGGCAAGTGCACATCAGAAAACGACCCGATAATGAAGAAAACATTATTATATGATTGCAGCAGAAAACCATACAGACATGGCTTTCTTGTGCCTTAAGCCAAGTTTAGCAGCTTCTTATTTCAAACTATTAGAACTATTTTTAAAAAATACTAGTCACACCCAGAATCTGTAAGTTCTACCCCAGAACTCAAATAAACAAACAAACAAAACACACTCACAACATAGAAAGAGTAACAAAAGCGGCTGCCAACTCGTGGAGGTATGTCAATCTTTATATGAGGAAGACACAGACGTCTCAGAACATACGGAACAATTTAGCTAGTTTATAGATGATTCATAATTTGAAGGTAGCTTACTGGTGTAGTGAATCACTATTAGCGGTGGTGGTGGTGTGCGTGTGTGTGTGTGTGTGTGTGTG